ACAAACTATACCATAAGCATTGTTTTTAAGCAGTGATGACAGGTTATTGTTTTTAATCTTTCCATAAATTCAGCTTTTTAATGCAAAGCCAACAATGTGTTTAGTTGGAGTCATTTGTCCCTCACTAATCAAGAATTACAAGCTTTGTTTGCCAGTAATCTTTCACACTGCAGAACATTTGATGGCTTTTTTTCCCCTTTGTATTTATGCGTGAGTGTGAGTATTTATCAAATACTGTCATTTTTTCCCCACAGAATACCATCAAAGTTGATTTTTGGTGTGGAAATAGTTCAGTTCAGTGCTTTGCACGCACAACACACACTCTGAGCTCCTTCCTCCTCTCATTCCAACAGTGGAAACAAGTTGGGACAAATGCACCTCACAAAGGCAAGTGCTTCCATGAATGACACAGCAGCAAATGTAAAACCTACCAAAAACAAAAAAAGTACTGCCATTATTTTGAGGAAGAAACAGACAACAGATGACATCATGGGTGATCCATGCCAAGCACCCAACAGTGGAACAAAGGTTGTGTTTTTTGGGAGCATGTTGGGCATGTAAACAAAAGACAGTCAGAAATAATTGATATTAAGTCTCAACTAAAAAAATGGTAAATGCATTTAAAGTGTACATGTTACAAATGAAGCTTTAACATAGTAAATACTTTTTAAAATGTATTACTTTAAATGTAATTTCTCCAATTACCTCCAACCAAATATTAAAATTTAAAAAGGGTCCATTGAATTTGTGATTTTTCTACTTCAAAATTTGTGGCACTGAAGACCAAACCCAAAAGTTGCTGGTAAATTGTCATTCTCATTACATGTGGTACATGAGGTGGGATGAAATTATGTACACAGGGTCCCAGCTACATCCAACAATAGCAAAAATATAACATGTAAAAAAACAGTATATACTGTAAGGATCTAAGATATACACTAAGATATATGCCAAACGAATGCCAAACAGCACACTAAAAGATCTAAGATATACACTAAACACTAATAATGTGAAACAATATGGCGTAACAATAGCAGCCCGAACAGGACTTCATCATACCATTGTTAAGTTTCTTATGGTATCATAGGGTAACAAGCTGGAGATGGGAGTGCATCAAGGATTGGCTCTGAGCCCCTTCTTGTTTGCTCTGGTGATGGACCGACTAACATATGAGGTCAGCCAGGAATCTCCGTGGACTATGATGTTTGCAGATGACATTGTGATTTGTGGTTAGAACAGGGAACAGGTGGAAGAGAACTTGGAGAGGTGGAGGTATGCACTTGAAAGAAGAGGAATGAAAGTCAGCTGTAGTAAAACAGAGTACATGTGTGTGAATGAGAGGGAGGAGGTGGAGGAGTGAGGCTACAAGGAGCAGAGGTCACAAAGGTGCAGGACTTCAAGAACTTGGGGTCCACTGTCCAGGAAAATGGGGAGTGTTAAAGAGGTGAAAAAGAGAGTCCAGACAGGAAGGAGTGGAAAAGAAAAATGACAAGACAGTTGTGAGACCAGCTATGCTGTATGATCTTGAGACAGTGGCATTGACAAAAAGACAGGAGAAATAACTGGAAGTAGCAGAAATGAAGATGCTGAGGTTCTCCTTAGGAGATAAGATTAGGGATGAGATCATCAGAGGTACAGCACAGATAGAACAACTGGAGGATAAAGTTAGAAAGGCCAGACTGAGATGGTTTGGACATGTCCAGAGGAGGGACAGTGGGTATATTGGTAGAAGGATGTTAGAAATGCAGCTGCCAGGAAAAAGACAAAGAGGAGATTTATGGATGCAGTGAAGAGCATTAAAAATTTCATAACTAAACTTTTGTATATTATTTGAATTTTGAATAATCAATATTCATTCAACCTTTATTTATTGGGCAATAACTAAAAATAATAGTAATTCCATTTGTATTTTAAATAAAAGCTAAGCAGGTACATGAGGTGTATTTAAACTTTTGTTTAATACAGTGTGGGTTTTGTGCTCAACATTGACATATTGTTAAAATCTCATACTGGCCACGTCTGGCTTACACTTGATCCTTCACGGACAATATAAATGCTTCAAAACGCAGTATTGTTACCACTTCAATGTATGAAATGACATGTATAACAGAGCAATTTGTTCTCAGACCGCAGGCTTACTTATGGTTCCTAGAGTTTCCAAAAGTGGAAGTTTTCAGGCTCCTCTCAGGCTCTTCTCTTGCTCTACTCTACCTGTTTGTATATTTGAATTTTTCTCCTTAACATGGATGTTTTTTTTTTTGGGG